AATCCTCACATATTAGAAACAAACACCTTTAAAAATTAAAACCCAACATTTGAAACATCAATTTCAATACTTTTCGAAGTGGATTTGAAAAACTCCTGAATTAAACTCAACTTTATTTGTTCAAACTTGCATTTGCTGTAATAACCCAAATTGAGGAACATTCCCTATTATAGCTATGTAAGGTTTTTTCTAGAAGTACTTAATTTAAAAACACTTTATTTCTTTATTGATTTTTATTTTCATAACTGTATTATCAAGCAGTCGTCTAAAATAATCACCTGCTTAGGTCTTTATGTTTATTTATTAATTTATTTATTTATTCAGAAAATACATCCAACAGGTCATGAGACCCAATTACAGGAGTACATAATACAAAATAAAAAGCTTATATTAGTCCTGAAAAACAAAAATTAAACATAAAACGTAATCTATATTAGCATTTTAATCCTTTTATTTTAATTTTCACTTATCATTTTCGTATTTTTCATCACATATTATTGAAATGTGATGAGAAAGTTTATTGCCGAAAAACAGATGAATATTTAGAACGACACCAATTGGGGTGTTTCGAGCAGGTATTCATTGTCAACACTTTTATGGATTACGATAAGGAATTCGGGCCCAAGTGGTTGATCCTTTTTGACTATATTTATGACCTCGACCATTTTTGAGTGACACTTTTTCGAGTTACTTCGCATACGTTTCTTAGCCGAGGGGTTAGTCTATATACAATGGCCGAGGCATCCATTCTGTTCTGGGATTTCGGCCAGGAACTATTTCTGATTCAGGGTTTCCCCCCGAGAACTGAACCCGCTCTACAGTTTCCTCGCTGATCGAGGAAAGAGCGTTAGTTCCTCGAGGTAACCCTGTAATTTTCTTGTTCGTGTTTTGTTTGTCAACATTGTGTTTTGTTGTTGATAAATCATTTGAAAAATTCACTAGATTTGAAATATTACAGTTTTCGCCTAAGAGTGAAGATATGTCAGAAATCTAGAATAGTTGAAAAGATTTTGTTTCAAACAATTACTCTATAAATTTACACAAAATAGTTTGGAGTTTATTATTTATCTCGTCTCTTTCTGGAAATTCAGAAAAGTCGACTTTTTATGATCAAATTATACTGTGAATGTCGAAAATAATTTTATTTCAATTTGCTTTATTTCTCGAAATTTACACTCAGTTAGTCATGAATAATTTTACCAAGACTTTTTTCTCCTAAAAGCGACTCCTGATAAATCGTATATTTATTTGAAGTGGTGTTGTTCAAATGAAAACAATTAGAAATAAATAACGGTGAACCATATAGTTAATCGCCAACAATAATAAACAAACCCATAAAGTATCAATTTGTGGTTTTCCCCACAAACGATTAAAGAAGAGGCGTCCCATAGTCCAAAAGCCAGTGACATCTTTTTCTCTGTTGTTTTGTCCAGGAATAGAATGTCCCAAGTCACATAAAGGTATTGTGTTGCATGTACTGCTGATATCAACAGAGGGTTTTAGTTTTCCGCTTAATTCGTCGTAAGGTTTGATTGTAGGATATGGACACTTACCTCAAGAAAAAAGTCTTTAGCTCTCCGACTATTGCGAAACTGAATACGAACGTGAATTGTCGAATAATTGTGTCAAAGTAGCCATTAGATAATAAACTGGCGCCGTTTCAATTAATTGTTTAGGTACATTGTCAAGGTGAAGATGAATTATCGCCTTAAACTGTTGGTTTTTCGTGTCCGGCCATAAATTCGATTTTTCTCGAGGGAATGATAAATGTCTTGTTGGTATTTCCAATTCACGACTCCGGGATATTTATCAAAAGTAACATAAATTATTGTCGAGCACAAAGTTGGATTTTTCCATGGTACATTGATCATTCGATTCCAGATTGCTGATATCAAGATAAATATTCTTATACAGTGAAGTATTCGAGAAATATCCATCGACGACTACTTGCAGGAAACATTATTTCAGGAAGCTGGAGAATCATGCACAGAAATGATCTGACAAACATCGAAGATTGGCCAGCAAACTCTCATTACACACACGGTCAAAGGCCTTAAGGTACGTTTTCCTCCTCGGCCGCCGGTCGCCGACGACTACGACCTAGTAGCGACGA